ACTTTCCAAGCTGAGGCTCTAAGTAATATGCTTCCCAAGCATTGCAAGTGGGGAGGGAGGGAGGGAGGGAGAGAGCGAGAGAGCGAGAGCACCAGCATGATTGTTTGTTTGCCAGCAGTAGCAACAAGTTTTTTATTGCCTGGATACTGGTTTTGTGATTCCCTCTTGTGGCTGAACCTTTCAAATACATGACACAACTGTTGGGTTAGCCAGTCTTCTCACAAGGAATCCTAGTAGCTGCAAGTTGTAGTTAAGGTTGGAAATTACGGACAGAGTTTCTGAGCACCCCAAAAAACAAATTTCCAATCCAGGATTGGGTGGGAGAAGCCATGATGGATAAACTGACACATCAACATAAACCTGTCACAAAATGTGTGTTGTCCATACATACCTTATTTGGCGGATCAAATTTTTGAACAGTGGATTTATATACAGTATCGATCAGAAGTCCTTAAACTTTTAAAGTTATGGACCGGTTCAAGATTTTTTTTTAAATGAACGAATTCCTATACACACTGCACATATTTTATTTGTAGTGCAAAAAACCCATGAAAGAATAGTACAATATTTTAAATTAAGAACAATTTTAACCAACATCAACTTACCAGTATTTCAGTGTGGGTTTGCTTTTGGCTGATGAGAGAGTCAAGTAAATTAGGATTGTTGTTGTTGTGTACCTTCATCGCTTCAGACTTAGGGCGACCCAGAATCCAAAGTTTTAGGACAGGGGCTGGGTAAAGGACCTTGGAGGGCTACATCTGGCCCGCAAAGTTTGGGGACTCCTGGTACAGAGGGTCTGTTTTTATTTTTTCCTTTTACAACCATTTTTCCTGCTTCAAGGAGCAATTGACTTCTGCCATCAGCTCAGAGCTCCCAGAGCACCTGAAGGGATCTTACTTCCTGGAGGAAGAGCAAAGGCTACTGGAGGAGCGGGACATGTTTAAGGAGCAGAAGAAGGCATTTGAAATTGAGCGCGAAAACTTCACTGAAGCAGCCATTCGGCTAGGATGGGAGGTAGGCTGCTTGTTTCCTGGAACAGCAGAAGCTTAACCACAAAGTTCATGTCTTTCTTTTACAGTCACTGTGGTAACATGCCTCCATGTTACCCATCAACCATCTTCTACTTCTTAGTTTTCCATTTTGTCAGCAGTGGACACTCTAAATGTGGTGAATCTACTTCCACACATCTAGAAATACAAAGTGAGAATGGCAGCAGTCTTGTTTCAGATTTCTGGCTTTAGTCTGAAACAAAATGAAGGCACACAACAACAATCCTAATTAACTTGACTCACCATTTGCTTAAATCCTGGAGAATTGCAGCATTCTCTACTGTCTTTTGAATATTGCCCTTATAATGCCAGATTTCTGTCTACTTAGTCTTTAGTTGTAGAGAATGGTGTGTTTGACCTATACAGAAGGCAGCAGGATGTTGCTGGCATGATCTGATGTTGACATCTGGATTTCTTGCAAAGCCTGGTCCCTGTAATTGTACCATTTTGTGTAGCTTGTTTCTAGTAAATAACTTCTCAAGCTGTATGTTTGTCCCACATTGTGACTAATTTACATTGAGTATCCCTAATCTGGAAATCCAAAATCTGAAATGACCTAAATACTCCAAAATCCACAATTGTCCACATTTGGCTGAGATACTGACACCTTTTGTTTTATTGATGTTCCAGTGTTTCCTATCTCGGTTTCATGCACAAAAGTGTTTAAAATATTGCATAAAATAGCTTTCAGGCTATGTGCATAATAGTTGTATTTATAAAAAAATAAAAAAATATATTTGTAAGAAACATAAATGTATTTTATGATTAGACTTATCTGAGGGTGGGAAAAATATAATCTGCACCAGTGTAAATTAGCATAATGTCATTAGAATCATAGAGTTGGAAGAGACTATATGTGCCATGTAGTCCAATCCCCTGCCATGCAGGAAAAGCACAATCAAAGCACCCTGACAGATGGCCATCCAGACTGTTTAAAAGCTTCCAAGGAAGGAGCTTCCACCTCAGTCTGCGGCAGAGAGTTCCACTTTTGAACAGTTCTTCCAGTCAGGTGGAATTTCCACATTTGCACTCCTTCAGTCTGCTGGGACTTCTCCTGTTCTCCAGTGGTTCTGAAATGACTTCTTCTGCATCCTCGTCTCTAGGGAAGGAAAACAAGGTTGCTCCCTCATCCCTGTGACATTAATATTTGTTGAATTACTTGGAATTTTTCCTTGTAACACTTAGAATATGGCTTTTTGATTTGTGTTTATAGCATAATAAAATATGTTTTTTAAAAAAACCTAAGACCCCATCTCTATTATACTTCCTTATGTATGTTATGCAAATACAGGCATTCCAAAATGTGGAAACATCAGAATCCAAAACACTTCTGGTCCCAAGTATTTCAAACAAATGATACCCAACCTTTACTGCATTTCTTTAAGCTTTAAGGTAGGGCGGTGGTGCAGTAGGTTAAACCCTTGTGCTGGCAGGACTGAAGACTTGACAGGTCGCAGGTTCGAATCCGGGGAGAGTATAGATGAGCTCCCTCTGTCAGCTCCAGCTCCCCATGCATGGTACATCAAAACATCTGGGCGTACTCTGGGCAACGTCCTTGCAGACGGCCAATTCTCTCACACCAGAAGCAACTTGCAGTTTCTCTAGTCGCTCCTATACTTCAATTAAGTCCCGCAGCACTCCATTTTAACATGGCCTTATTAGCAAGCTGATATTCTTTCCTTATCCCTGAATGTTCATAGCATCAAGCCTGGTAAAGATCTAGGCATAACTTGAAAGCTTCCTCACTGCTTTGAATCCGTCTAGTTGATTTTAGCAAACCTACGGTGCAGCTGTGTACTTTACTATCAGTCTCTCTTTCTCCAAGGAGGAAAACAAAACCCATTCCTTCTACATAGATTTTAAATATAAGCCAGAGCTTAGTTCCTGGGCACCACATACTCTGTATAGAGACCCCACCTATTTTCTGAACCACAGTTTTACTGCCTTTGTGGATGCTCTGGAATTACTTTTCTTCTTTGTGCTCCTTTTTTTTTTTTTTTTTTACAGAGAAAGCAATTTGAGGAGCAAAAAGCCCTTCTCCTGAAGGAAGAATTCTTCCGTTCATTGCCAAGGACAGAGAGAAAAGATCCAAACCGAAGGTTTTCAGCCCCTGTGACTATCAGAGAGGAAGAAGGTAATCATAGCTTCAGGCTTCCTTCCTGCATTGTTCTCTGTAGTACAGTGGATCTCTACTTGTGGGTCCCCAGATGTTTTGGCCTTCAACTCTCAGAAATCTTAACAGCTGGTAAACTGGCTGGGATTTCTGGGAGTTGTAGGACAAAACACCTGGGGACCCACAGGTTAAGAACCACTGCTTTAGAAGGTATTTGAGAGCAAAATTATAATTATGGCATAGCAACAAATATAAGAGAAGCTTGCATCTAGAGGTCATCAAAAAGAAGGAACAGTGAAAATGCTTTATATTCAGAGGTCTCCAAAAGAAGTGTATTGCTGTATTATGATCTGTTTTGGTGAATTAGCGTCATACTTTTGAAAGTGCTAAAAATGTGATTCGTTCTTACACAGTGCTTTGACTTGTATTGATATTTGGTAACTTTTTAATTGTATTGTCGAAGGCTTTCATGGCCGGAATCACTGGGTTGTTGTTGGTTTTTTCAGGCTATATGGCCATGGTCTAGAGGCATTTCTCCTGACGTTTCACCTGCATCTATGGCAAGCATCCTCAGAGGTAGTGAGGTCTGTTGGAACTAGGAAAAAGGGTTTATATATCTGTGGAATGACCAGGGTGGGACAAAGGACTCTTGTCTGCTGGAGCTAGGTGTGAATGTTTATTGTAGTTTTTCAATGCTTTTGCAAATGCTAAACACCTGGAAAGGAACCAGTCTCCATTAGGACTGGCTCTGTCAATGGTAGGAGCAGCACAAGAAGGATGGTGCTGCTTTTGCAATTTGCAGGGGCTTCTACAAGTATTTTTTGAACTGAGCCTCTAACTCAGTGGTTCCCAAACTGTTTCGGTAATGGAACTCTTCAGAAGACTTTTTTCCTTCTGTGGAACCCAACTCTATCCTTGATTTTTTTTCCTATGCGTTGTGAACCCACAAAGTTTTTCCTTCTTTCATCCATTCCTATTGCCTGGGCATTTTGTATAATGTATTAGGTTTGGAAATAAATCGTTTTTAAAACGTTTATTTTGGTACCAAGAAGATACTGAATATAACAGCAAAGATTTCTTTTGCTACAAGAAAATATTCGATTCACACCTAAAGTTATGAATGATATGTTTTTGTTTCATTTTTATATTTTAAATAGTTTTCTAATTAGGCGTTATGTGCAACAGCTGAATATGTAAGTCCAAGGCGGCAT